GATAACTTATACTCCTAGCTTTTTAAACGAGAGTTTGGATTTTTGTGATTTTGTAGCTAAACTAGTGGCTGGTGGTTACAGTGAATTTCCAAGAAAAAATGTAGTATCTGAATTGCTCTTGGAATATACTATTGTATATTGCACTATAATTTACTTCAGCTTTGGTGAGTATTCTAGAGGCAAAACAAACTGGTCACTGTAAATGTTTCCGTCTTTGGTTTAGAAATCCGTCTATAGCGTATTTCGAGGCATCAGTGGTTACGAAAAATTTGGGTATATCAAGATTGGTGCAAACGTCAAACAATGTTTTAGATATAATCAAAGGAATTTTATTGGTGCTCGCCCCAGGTAAATGGTATGTCCTTTTTGAGTAGATCTGTTGAAGATTTTGCAATTTAAAAAAAAAGTTGGAATACATCGGACATAGTATCTAGTTAATCCGTGAAATGATTTCATAGTAGTTGGTTTTTTTTGGTAATGGATATTTCTTATTGCTTTTGTTTTCTTGGAATTCGATTTTATATATAGGGCCTGCACTTTTTGGGGTTGAATTTTAAGTTTCAGCTGTTAAAAGAAATTTCTAATCATACTCATCGATGTTTCTGGTAAAGATGTTATGATTGTCGATATATGCAAATACAATTTTTCCTTGGATATCTCTTAGTACATTTATTTATCACGCGTTAGAATGTATTGGGTGCATTTATCAATCCGAAGGGCATTTCGTCGAATTGGGAGCGGTCAAAGGGAGTTGAAAATGCAGTTGTACGGCGGTAATGGGGGTCTGATTTGATTGATGAAATCCACTTTGCATGTCAAGAATTGAGAATATGTTAGAACCATTCAACTATGTTAGATTGTTGATTGAGTTCAGGATCGGATAAGGATCAGATTTCGTTTTTTTGTTTAACTCTCGGAAGTCGACTACAACTCTCCATTCGTTTTTTTTGTTTGGGTACGATAATTAGAGGGGTGTTATAATCGTTATCCGACGATTATGTAATTCCTATCGCTAAGAGTTTAACAATTTCATTTTCAACTATTTCTTGCATCTTTTGAGGAATAGGTTATTAGCGTATATGAACAGGGAAGTCATCTGTCGTCACTATTCTATGTCTTGCCGCGCTGGTGAACGTTAAATTTTTAATAGGTAAATGTGTGAAAAGTTTTGTCGTTTTGTCGACTAAGTTCCGAAATCTTTGTATTTTATCGTCGGGTAAGTTACCGATGTTAATCAAATTCATAATCTCATCGACTCGAGTGCGATCCGAACCCGAATTATTATATGGATCTGATTAATTTCTGCTTCGTTGTTCCTATGTAATATTTCTTCCCTAGTTTCAACATATTCTTGAACTGAACTTTCTAAATTCTGTATCACATTATCTACTGTGATAGAGGCGTTTTCTTTCAAGTAACTTTGAACCAATAAATGAGGTCTGTTCAGTACCTTTTTGGCCTGTGGTACCTCCTTTATAGGTAATCTATTTCTGTCTACGTTATAATTTTTGCTGGGCTTTAGTTCAAGATCAATAAGTTCGTTTAAAATTCTAGTAAAATTGTTATGTTCATGAGAGCTTTTAATCGATCTGTTCTTGTTTTCATTTACCTCTTCCGGATCGCTTATGTCGTTAGTGAATGTGTGTCGGAAAAGAGGAAACCGATTCATTTTTGTGATCACAATCCCATTCGTGACCTTTTGGATCTTTCAAAAAGCTTGGTATTACGTTTATTTAGTAATAAATTGCTTCTGGATAAAGATTGAGTTTTGGAAATAACAATTTGACTGAAAACGAATTATTATTGGTGACTGGCAGATCTACTAAACCATCTAAGTTGTCGACTAGTACATTTTCTGCTTTAATATTTGTGTCACCGAACTCCAGCTCAAGTATATATATCCTCTGTAAAAAGAAATCGGATTTACAAGCGGCAGTTTCAGGATTAAAATTGTATGTGCTGGTATTTCGTGTATCCATTTGTTTAGAAAGGGATACTCTTTTACAGAAGTGAACATTATTTCCAACGTAAAACAACTCTATTACTTTTTAAAAAATGGGCTCCTAACAAAGCGGTTGTAGCTAGGAAAATCATCGGTGACAACGTCAAAGTCATCTTGAGAATCTGCTAGACAGACTAGTGTGGGATATAAATCGCAGATGTCTCCGCCCGTTACTCCACGAATCAATGGTGCGTTTTGTAAGTTTATATAGTGGTCGCGGGATAAAGCAGAGAATTTTATTATATTTGGCTCTGCCCCTGAGTCCAACATAGCGTCGACTTGTTTCGTATAAAAATCATCTGATGTAAGTTCAACAACGGGTATTACCTTTGAGCATCCTAGATTTACATGGTGTTTGGTTTTTTCCATTGCCATAAGAATTGCATTCATCGGGCGCTGGTTCATGGGAGGCCCCGATGCGCCATAGGTTTCCGAGGCTGCCTGTACGTTTCCCGCTAGTTTCTTTTCTTATTTTTCGCACCGTGCTTTGTATTTCTGACCTAGGTAATCGTTTATATGGTGTCCGGTTCTTTTACAGTGCGTGCATTTAGCTTCTGCATCGTATAGTTTTTTATCGAATATAGGTGGTGATGGCAAGTTTGGATTTCTAGGCCTTCTTTGTGGACTGGGATGCAACGGTATAGACGTTGATTGTATTTGTATTTGTTAAGCTGTCTGTTCCGTTGGTTTATAGGCTGCAGTTGATTGTCCTGCTTGAGGTGGCCGACGTCGTTAACGGCTTTCGTGACTCGTTTCCGCCATGTTTTTGCCTCTTCCGCTGAATCTATTTGTTTACTTTTATTGTATCGTAAAAGACTTCTTGCAGTGTCATCCCTTTCCGATTTCCTAGTCGGGAGCAAAAATTGAAATGTAGACCGTCACGAAACCCTTCTATGGTTTCATTGTCTAATTTTACCTTTTCCATCAAGGACAATTCTGATTTAATTTCGTTTCTAATTGCTTCCTCTATGTAACCTCTGATGTTGGTTATTCTATTAATGTAATTTAGTATAGCCTCGCCGCGTTCTTTTACTATCCCCGCGAGCCCGCCGCGATAAGTGTTCACGTGGTACTTGAAAACACTTGTCAATGATACAAGAAATAGATTTTCAATTTTTTCCTAGCAAGAGGTAAAATTTCATCGCGTGTGTAAAATGTCACACTCTAATAAATATTTCGATTAGTTCCGTAAAATAATTAATTAATTAATTAATTCATAAATTAATCGATTAATTCCGTACAACTATAATTATAAGCATTAAATATCTTTGTAAGAAAGGTATTCTGAACCCAACTCACCGCGTGTGTCACTAAATTTTACGTTCGGAATTTACAAAATATTTACTTTCCCTTTATAATCTCGAGTATTACCGTAATATACTAGTAAAATCAATTTATAGCGAGCGAAGCGAAGCAGAATTATCAAAAGAAAAAACCTGTCGTGGCAGGTTATCCTTCGCCACCTTAGATTGTAGATTCTCCTACAATTTGTCGAACTGCAGTCCTGCGTCGAAGAGTATGGTAGAATGTGCCTAAAGCATCGCTCAAAGGTAGTCACCGTTCAAAAGTAGAGAAGAATTGTCGAGATGTTTCGGTTCGAGTTGTAACTTCACTGATTTTTATGGTATCGGTTTCTTTATTACACTGTTAATCTTACAAGAGAGTTAAACGTTTCGCGTAGCTCGTTATGTTTCGCTCGCGGTCGCGGAATGTGTCCAGTCCTCTCTGCAATCGAAAAAAATGCCAGTAATAGCCCGCCTACTGGCGTGATAACTAATGTTACCGGACAATGGGCTAATTGCTCGTTTAGCTTCGCAAGTCGATCCTTATACTATCCAGTAACTCTCGCAAGAGCGTGAGAGAGGAGGACTGTCTCTCTCCCACTCTCGCGATGTGCTTTTATAAAAAGCGCATATTAAGCGCAAAACTATACGCAAAACAAACCATTTCGTCTAGAGGTCAATCCATACCGAAGCTGCCGAGAGCGAGGAAACGCGGAGTTAGCCGTTTGCATGAGAAAGACTGAAAGTCGCACAGAAACTGTTGTTTCGACAACATTTCAGCGTCCGATATCTGGCTTGCATGAGACATAACAATGATGTACAAAAATTCAAGATCGAGTTTGTCAATTGAACAAATAGAATTCGAATAATTTAAATTACGAATTCGCAAATTTATTATTTTGCAAATATAAAATTGACGAGCGGATAACAATTGTTTCAAATAATTTTATAATGTTTGTACAGTTAGTCCACCATCTTGCAATACAATTTTAAATATTTAAATAAATTGTTCATTTTTTATTTATTCATAATCTTGTTCCATAATCAGTTTACAATCTCTTAAATTCTTGATTTTCTTTCTTACGATAGAATTTGCGCTTAGATACATTTGGATTACATAATTATGTATTGCAAAATTATTCTTAATTTATACTTATTAATTAAATTTCGCTATTTATTAACTAACTGATACAAGTGACAGGTTCATATTCGGAATCGTTCGAAATCATCGAAATTATTTAGAAAAGTGCTTTTGTTCATTGAAAGAGATTATAGTTACAAATTTCACATAGTAAACAATAGTTTTTGCATAGATGCGACGTCACGCTCCTCACAAAGTAATGAATTTGATGAATGGTTTAACAGATCTAAGAGTATTTGAGGTAGCGCCTTAGTTTAGATAGCGTTTTTTCTCATTTTTAGGTATATTGCGGGTTGCCATTATGCAGCAAAGAAAAAAAATCAGACTGTTACATTTGATTTTATTGATTTTTATTTCCGAAACTTTGCCAAAATGTAGTGCAAATATTGGATATTTAACTGAGCAATATTTTTGTTCTGTAATGTTATCCATTTCCTGAATATACATTAAAGTCTTTATAAATTTGTTATTTTATATCGAAATTTAATTTACGAAGGTAGAGAACAATATTAATAGTTTTTCAGTAAAGTCTTCAGTCATTGTTTGAAATGATATAAGAGTGATCTATTTTCAGACTCGGTAGGGATTCAACTGAAAAGGTGGAGGGCCTGGGCTTGAGAGACGTTGCGGAGTCGGTGAGTGACTCCAAAAATACCGAAACGAAACCGCCAGACGTAGCTTCCACGCTGACCGGCCTTCTTTCGGGACTTCCGACCCTTACGGGTCCCCAGCGTCTTGCCATTTCTCTCAGGCAGAAGCTTATTAATAATTCGGGTAAGTTAAGGTGCTACTGAGTTTCTGAGATTCTATGTAAACATAAATCGATTGATTAATGCTATAGAGCGGCTTTATTGAAAAAAAAAACTATTTTTCAACACGCCATGCGAAAAGTGCGACTTTGCCGCATATTCATTGAAAAACACACTCTCAGATTCGTGTTTTTTACACATTGTTTTGAAAAATACCATACCCAACATGTTCAGGAAAGAGATTCTCGTCTAATGTAACTTTTCACCCTGGCTTCACGGAGCGTCAATCTCATACGGGACAAGAATCATCTTTTCTGCACTAATTAAGTAATGTACTATACTATCTCCAGTTAAAATTCATTTGAATTAATTTTAGTATTTCATACAGCCCGAAACATCAAATTCACTAATTTAATTTAAAGTTAATGTACTTGTTATCTACATAGAGGTCAACATGTGTACAAAGTTTAAACCAAAATATGGATAACGGAATGGGTTATCAACTAATGGGTTATCAATCAAAACATGTGATTTAAAAAAATTCAATTGCTTGGTGATTAATAAAGATATCATCATAAATTTTTTTTTAAAGTTGTGGAAAGATTTAAAAACCTATTTATTTATTTATGCTATCGTTTTACACAAAGTTTCTAAAAATTGATGATATCTCAAAGAACCGATATTTTTTTCAAAAATTTTTACACCATTGTCATTTTTAACACAATACACCGTTGTAATGTGTCTGCTATTAGAATTACCAAAACATCAAAATTAAGCAAACCACCATAAGTAGTCTTAGGAGGATTAAATATTCATCTATGCTGACTTTAACTCTAGAGAAGTCGACGGCTCGGTGGTCCGAGGCCTTATATCTCATCAGTATCCAGGCATATTCAAGAGAGCCTGTAAGCGTGAGCTCGTCTTCGATTTTTCGGATGAGGTACGGTCACCCTATTATTGATTTCCGTGATGTTTTTAGGAACCACCGAACGGGGGATTTTGACGACCAGGCTTAGGTTCTTTCTCTTCCTTATAACAATTCTTGTGATCATATTTTCTTGGTTTAGTCTGAAAATAATATGTGCGGTTAGTATTTTGTCTACTGGCTAAAATCAGAACAACACGGTGCATGTCATTCCCTAGGTCTATTGTTGCGTGGCCTGGAGACCCCAGACAATGCCTACAGACCCATTATTATACCTGGAGAGGCCTGGATTGTCCAGGTTTTCGAAAGTACAGAGGCATGTATCAAATTTCTCAGATCGCCCTATTCATGTTAATATGCGAGTTATTAATTAAGATTTAGGACATAACAATCAATAATACAGTCAGAGATAGTGCTATAGTGAGGTCTAATATAAACTTTATATGATTGAATAAAGTCCGGGTTAGTTGCTGTTTATAATGTTAGAATATTTGTTGTGGTCAGATTATTATTGGCAGATTGGCATTAATAATTCATGTAACCATATTGAAATTAAAATCAGCTACTTTACTGTGAGTACTCTGCATACTACACCCATTTAAACATTTACAAATGTCCTTTTCCCTTCCGAGTAGCTGGAATGATGCTGTAAACATTCGAAAGCCAAAAGTGCTTTACCGTAGGCTTTAAAAAAATTGAGTTGGTCCAGATTAATTTTGATGAATGCTTCTTTCCCTTTTTTTGTTATCACGGCTTAAACGGAAGGCTTTCTGGAAAAAAATTGATACATTATAAAAAAATTCAATTTTAAGTAATTGTTTCAATGCTTCATAATTTTTTTATATAAATTTTAATATCAACTCCTACTTAGTTTTCTTAAGCTCTGCTCGGCTCAAGCTGTAACATATATGTTGAAGAACACCTGCGTCAAATTTCAGCTCAATCCATTCAAAATTCATGTCAGGATCGTACGGTAATGGTATTAACTTTTTGAAAAATTAATATATAAGAAAAACAAGTTTAAAATTTATAGTTATTATAATTCACGTTATTTCACTGAATCAAATTCTTATCACTACATACCTTCTTTGAGTCAATAAGCTTTGAAAATCTTCAATTTCCTCTATTTTTTTGAGTCTACGCATCTATTTGCCAAGATTCAGAGTCAACAGTCCCACCAGAGTGATATAAATCCTAGAAATAAAAAAAAAACAATTTTATTGAAACTTAATATAAAAAAATCAAACTCAAGCATATTAAAATATACTTATCTTTTTCAAACTCATGTAACGGTCCTATTTATGAGCTGTTTATTAAATGACTGCAACTAGTCTAACGTATTTATCTGTTTAGTCAAAACAATACATTAAGCGGTGCTACCTCACTGTTTACGAGACTGTATACAAATAAGAGTCGAGTCAAAACAAACAGCATGACGTCACAAATAATAGACATAGATATAATGATCCATAATGTTGAGAAAAATATGTTAATTATAGATAATTTGAATATAACAAAGTATCGATTATATAGATTTTAACATGCAGATTCACAATATCTCATTCAATTATAAATTAATAATGAATATCAATATGTAAAGTTAATTTATTTATTAACATATGAAATATTAGAAAAATATAAATAATTTATATGTAAAATGAATAAGCATAGAACATGAGTAAGAATTGGTTTCATTAATAACAGCTAAATAACAACTGTTATTAGTAAATAAACAATTAATAATTTATTTAAACAATAAGCTATATATAAAACGAAAATATTAAGTTAATACTTGATAATGATAATTTTATGATTTAGAAATCTTAGATAACTAATGTAATAATCGCATATTAAGATTAGAAGAAAACCGTTACAAATATGAAAAATTAGTCATAATTCAAATGTTATTAATTAATTTAAATAATTAATTTTGGAAAATACTTCCAAAATTAATCAACTATAAAGTTATATGAAATTTTAATAATTTTCTATTGTAAATAATGTAATATCACGTTAATTAACTTTATTAGTTAATAACTTTTGACGACACTATTGGCGATAATTGTATATTGTATAAAATCAACAAATAACTAATTCTGTAAAATTTACATGTGTTAAAAACTTAATATTAATGGTTATTTACTTGTAAATTAAGAAAAATGATTTCTCAAAATTCGCGAATGTCTCTCGAATTTTCGATGAAATCTCTCCTGCAATAATAAGCGGGAAAATCTATGTATAAATAGGCCCACCTTTGCACAGGCTAGATTCATTCACTTCTAGCCTTGCAAGGTGAGCGCATGAGTCTGAATAAACTTGGATTAATACCTAAGTTCTTTCTCTCATTGTGATTAACTAAGCAAGACTAACCTTTCCTTATAATTTGAGCTCGACTTATAGAACATCTCGCGCTATAAGAAACTTGGGCCTAATTATATCCTATCAAAGAAAGACTTTAGCTCTGCTTATGGGACAATTCGCACCATAAGAAACTAGGGCATTGTCTGACTTTCCTCGATATATTGCAATTACTTATGTATATTTGATTTACTTGTTTGTTATATTTGATTCATTATCTATTCTCTTGACAATTAGAGTAAAATCATCGGAAACAAATTCTTACTCATTAGCTAGTTAACGAGAGTTCGAATTATTTTATTTATAAGTGATACGAATATCACATTTGGCGACCGTGACAGGACTCTTGTTAAATTAGTTATTGTTAAGTATTTGTTATTTATTTTATATTAGTTTGTAATTTAATTGTAAATTTTTATTTTATTATGCCGAAAAGAAACAAACATATGCGAGCAATACTGTGTAAAAATGCGTCACTGGAAAAAGAAATAAGTGAACTGCGTACATTGTATATGGAACTTGCGGAATCGTTTGTTAATTTAGGTAACAATTACAAAAAGAACATGAAATTATTTGATACAAGTTTGAGAAATATGAGCTCTAATTTGAATCATTTGGCTGACACCGTAGAACATATATTAGTATCTAGACCTGCTCCAGGCGCATAAATTGTATTATTATTTATAATAAATTTGATTACTACGATATATAATTTGAATTTGTTCAATTATTTGTCAAATCCAATATGTTGTTAAAATCAATTGATTAATGTCATCCATATATCATTTATTATTGGTGTTGAATTAGTTATATACTTTGGATTATTTTTAAATTGATATTACAATGTCAAACGAAAAACGTTCAATGTATAATTCTACTGAATGTGCTCCCGAAACAATTCTTAACGAACTTAGTGAATCACTAATTGGTGAAGAATTGACCGTGCAACAAAAAAGAACGCACGAATGGGAAAAAGCTGTAGTAGATGAATTAAAGACATTTCATACTGATCAGTTTAAATTACAAAATGATTTTAAAACAATTTGTGAAACTATTAACAATTTAAATAATAAAGTTGATAGATTAACGAATAAAATGGTTGAACAAGATCAAATAATTAAGAGTTTAGAATCAAATTTAGAAAAGTCAAATGAAATTATTGCTATTTTAAAAGATAGATGTGAAGATAATTTTAATGATATTGTTCGAGCGAAAAATAATGTTACTATGGAAATGAATGAAACATTTTCAGTACTTCGTGAGAATATTGATAAAATTAAGAATAATGAACAAAATAGATCAATTGTTAATGAAACTATTATTGAAACCATTAAGCAACCTGCTTTAACGTGTCCAGTTTTTGACGATAGTTATAAATATCGACCAGTAAAATATTTAAATGATCTCAAACGTTATTTGCAAGCAAGTAATTACAATACTGCTCAATTGTTATGTTTGTTATCTCAATCTATAACGGGAGTAAATTCTTCTTGGTATGACTTAGTACAGCGTGAAATTAGAAATTTTGAAGATTTTGAAATGTTATTTAAAGAGAAATTTTGGAACGCTGAAATACGTAGAAATATTACTCGCGAAATAGAATTTGGAAAATATTTTGGTGGAAAATTATCACGTTATAATTATGCTATACGTAAAATTAATTTAGCTTTTGATATAAATGAAAATCTAGACGAAGAAGAATTAATAGATAAATTATCTCGACATTTTGATAGAGATGTGCGTTTATTAGTTCAAGCTAGACATATAAAAAAGATATCAGAATTTATTAAAGTTTTATCTTCTTTGGATAATGATGATTATATTAGTTCACGTCATGCTCAAAAAGATAGCGGCGGAGAACAACAAATTAATAGCATAACAATTGAAAATAGTAAGTCGAATAATAAGAATAATAAAGCAAATAAAAATAAGAATATTGCAAAACCGATTTTACAAGATGTACCTAGTACTTCCTCGGGAAACGAGTAAATGTTGCTTCTCGGAAATCGGATAAATGCAAAAGCTTGCAACGAGTTGCAACAATAAAATCAAGTAACGATTTATTATCAAAAGAATTATTAACTATTTTTGAAGATCCTAGACGTGAAATTAACGGTGAATTATCAAATAACGATAATAGCATTGGGGGCAGAATTTGTCCTGAAATATTTCTTTTATTAGAAAACATTCCAGTAAAAGCTCTACTTGAATCGGGTAGTGAAGTTTCTGCTATTTCAGAAGCATTTTATAATCAAAACTTAAGTAATTTTAAAGATAAACCTACTCTTCCGATTAGTGGACACGTTATTAAGGTAGCTACAGGCCAAAAATCGGTGAGATTGAAAAAGCAAATTTATTTGAATGTAAAATGGGGTAGTCAATACATTGATATTATCTTCATAATTATACCTAGATTAATAAAAGATTGTATTATCGGTTATGATACTATGAAAAATATAAAGCTCAAACTTGACACATTTAAAGTGCAAATTTATTTTGAAATTCATAATACTTTGGAAAACATGAAATATAACGATGCATTTATAGATGAAAGTACATATCAAAGCTTAACTATTCAGTATGATACTGTCTCGGATTTTAGGGATGACATACCATCACTCATTGATCTAACTCGTAATGAAATAGATGCAGGCATCACAAATGATGATTCTGAAAATCTAACTCAAGGGGAGATTGATGAGAAAGTTGATGAAAGCTCTAACCTTACCGATGCTCAAAAAAATGAGATAGCTTCACTTGTGTACGAGTTTAAAGATGTATTTCG